GGTTTATGATCTTGATTCAGTGTCAACAGATAGTCTTTCAAATACTTTTCCAATAAACACCCAATATGTTCATAAGCCAATATATGCATTGGTCGAAATCAGTAAATCAAAAATTGAATGTAATCTTAAAAATCTGCAACCGAAACTTGTCCCAACACCAATAATGGAACAAACATTCCAAGTTGACATTTCTGATATTCTTCCGAAAACCAGCAACAAAAAATCGAAAACAAATAGAAAGGCAATGTTATCGATTAAGCGGCGCGCACCACCTCTTGTACCTGCCTATTCTATCACAACTCATCAAAGTCAGGGACAAACTTTAAACAAAGTTGTAATTGATTTAAAGTTACCAAAGGATACAGATGATATCGCTGCAGTCTATGTACCATTGTCCAGAGTCAAACGTTTAACTGATTTAATTATTTTGCGACATTTCGATTACAAAGTCTTACTGATCAAACTCAGTAAATCTCAAGTCGCCGAGATGCAAAGACTAGACAAACTCTACATGGAAACACAAATGCGGTTTTCAGAATGGTTTTAACAAATTTTACAGAACATTTCAAATCTTCATTACTTGTCATCCACTTTTCGCATGTGATTTATTTGCATCTTTTGTAATTGAACAAATCTCTTGTATAATTCAAATTTTTGTCTATTCATTTATTGTTTGCAAATATAAGTACAAGTTTCTTTTCGAATTTTTCTACAGATGTATTTTTTGTTTAGCTTTTCCAATCTGTATTTGTTTATATTCAATCAATATTCACTTGTTTTTTCTTTTCTTTTGTGCAGTCGATCATTATATCATTATCGTGTCTTTACTTCATAGAGAAATAAATAAATACAGTTTATATTATATTAGAAAGTATTTTTCTTAACTGAAACATAGAAAAGCAAATATCAAATTGATAATATATTGTGATATTTTCAGTCGAGGGTAATGCGAGTCACCTCCGACGAGCGTTATTTATTGTTTAAAAATACTACTACAGTAAAGATCTCGCAGATATATCTAAAGCGAAAATTCGTTAATCTTTATATTTTGTTGCATATTTCTTTGTCCATTCATGTGCTGTTTGATCAAATATTTGTCGATCTGTTCGATAGAGCTTCAAAGCTTCTTTCTTAAGACCATGTGCTGGATTTGCATCTGTTACTAATGAACATAGTGAGACTAGAAGACCTCGTATAGTCAATGCTGGTGACCATTGACTATGTAAAATGTTTAAACAAATTTCTCCATTTGAGCTAATATTTGGATGAAAAATTTGTGTAATAAACCGTACATTTGGCGATTTGAAAGAAAAGTCAAATGGAAAATCAATGATTAAATGAAATTTACCACCCGAATATGGAGTATCATCTGGTCCATCTATCCAACCGATCCAATGAAGCATATTTTTGGTGGGATCTTCTGGTTCTGCATAACATAATGGAGCTAGATTTTTCTGTAATTCATTATAATGGATAGCAAGAAGTTTCGTAAAAGACATTATATTGTATACGAAAATAATCTTAAAAACAAAATCTTGTTTGAAATAGTTTGGATCTGAGTAAAAATTTTGTTAGTCCTTCACTTAAAAACACATCCTTCACAACAAAATGAACGATCGATTCTCCTTAAAATATGTACGTTGTTGGAAAACACCAACGTAATTACGTCGGAAGTAATTGCACTTAAATGTGTCAAGTTTTTGGCGATAAATGTTTTTGATAAGGACAAAAGGAATTATTGCACAATAAATTTCTTTCGAAAGAAAAGCGTCATAAATGAAAATGTCACTTATTACAAAACATCATCAGATTTCAAATATTTCTAATTGTTATGGATCAGAGATGTCTCCTTTATAATAAAAAAGGGTGAGCCAAAAGTCTACAACTTGTATTTATGATAAAAATGAATTCTGGGAAGCGGTATGCGTGCAACTTTGAGCACTTTCCGATCTGTAATACGGACGAAATGTAGGTTTTCTTGAAGAGTACTGAGACTTTCAGTTCATTTTGTACATATTTGATATTTTTATTTTCTTTGGTTAAATTATACGTAATTTATTAATAATATATATATAATTCATGAGTATACAAATAAAATAGGACATTAACGACACAGAAAGGTATATTTAAATAAGAAAAAAGAAAATTAAGTTCTACCAGTATTATTTTTGATAAATCGTAATGAAAAATAAGCACCTATCCGAAAAACTATAAACATTCCAAAAAGAACCAAAAAATTGTATTGAATATCAATCCCACTATCAAAAAAGCGAAGTGCATCATCACCTGTAAATGTTCCATTGATATTATTCTTACAAATATCAACATATGATCCATCTACACAACGATAAATTTGTGGACCCATAAATTGTAATCTAAGACATGCACTATAAGCATATTTAAAAAATGACAACCATTTAGCCCATACACCTAACCAATGTGGTAAATGTTGAATAAAGAATCCACCAATTAACATTAAACTAATAAGAGAAACAGTTGCAGCTGTTATAGCATGATGTAAATTTCTTAATGTTGCTCCCAAAAATAGACCAAATGATTCAGCTACAAGAATTGAAAGAAGTTGAAAAACTACAATAGCAAGAAAAATAGCAAAATTATTATTAATTCGTGCCATCCAATAAGCAATTATAAGAAATAATGTTGGTAAAACTAATTTAAGTGGAGCTTCAGCTAATGATTTTCCAATAAAATAAGCTGATAAACGATATGAACCACTTGCTCGTTCTTTTTCAATAACACCACGTTCAAATGGAAATGATAATATACCCATCATTAATGTTTGAAATGGCCAAAATGTCATTATAAAAAATATAAATGATGATCGATCTGGAATTGTACTTTCAACAAAATCCATTTGTAACCAACATAAACCACTAATTACAGCTAAAGATAATGCTTGAACAAAATTAAGAAAAGTAAATTGAGTTTTTCCAGTTAATCGAAAACTACGTGAAAAAAGAATTAACATTTGGGAGAAAAAACCAATTGGCCATCTGTTACTGTCTTTTCCGGAAATGAGATTTACATTATCTGGATTTGTAAGATCTGATTCATTTCCAGATGGTTCAGCTGTTAAATATTTTCTACCTTCAGGTGGATTTTGATCTTTAAATTGACTAATTGATTTATTTTCATTTACTGTTATTCGATTTCGGAGATATGCTTCTTTGAGATTTTCTCGTACATTCACATCTTGATTAACAAGATCCATAACATAATCAGCTGGATTATATTGTGGTGGAGATTGATAACCCATTGTAGCAAAATAAGGTAAAGCATCAGATGGTTTACCCTAACAAAAGAAAAGAAAAGAAAAGAAATATTTTCTTTAGTAGAATATAATTACCATAAAAATAGTTTTTCCATCAGCTAATAAAATGAGTTGATCAAATGATTGAAACATTTGTGATGATGGTTGATGAATAGATGTAATTATTGTTTTACCTTGATTTGATAATTCTCTAAGAACATCAATTAATGCAACTGCGGATGTACTATCCAAACCAGATGTTGGTTCTAAATTTAATATTAAATTATTTAGTTTTTAAATATATCAATAAGAATTTCTAATTTACCATCAAGAAAAATAACACTTGGATTACTTAATAATTCTGTACCAATATTAACACGTTTCTTTTCTCCACCAGATATTAACATAATTGGAGTATTTGCACATTTTCGAATACGTAATTGATCAATAATTTGTTCAACTCGAGCAATTTTATCAGTTTTTGATAAATGATTTGATAATCGAAGAAGAGCTGTATATGTTAATTGTTGTTTAACAGTAAGACTTTCGAAAAATAAATCTTGTTGAAGAACATAAGCCAGTTTTCGTTTCATGCCTTTCTCATGCCGTTGTTTGTTAAACCAAATATCACCAGTAACACCATTTAATGCTCGACCAGCTAATGTATTCAGTAATGTTGTTTTACCACTACCTATTCAAATAAATGTAATAAATATACGTTTATAAAAATGATTTAATTATACCTGATGGTCCCATAAGTGCAACTATTTGCCCAGGATGAATTTGACCAGAAACTTTATCAAGAAGAGTACGTTGAATATATCGCTCTTTTGATGAAGGATCGATCATTTTAGCTGGTACATTGATCACTTTAGAAACATTATGAAATGTAACGGTAATACGTGGTGATAATGCTGCGATAATTCGAGCTCCATCAACAGACATTCGACTTTTTCTTCTACTTCCTTCAGGCATCTCAATTATATGTGAATTATCAATACCTTTGTTCAATGTTGGATTTTTTCCTGCACTCATATCAATGATAGCAGGTGCAATTTGATTTGTACGGTGTAATGTTTCAACCATTTTATGATAGTTTTTGAAAAAACGTTTATAATATTACTAAAAGACTTTCTATATTTATAAGGGAGTATGGCGGTCTAGTTTTTTTTGCCTACGTAATAATGATGCAGTTCGACACTAGTGTGCTTTGCGTACCGTAAGAACGTTTTTGTTCATTTATTTGCATCGTCATACTGCTTACAACCATACGAAGCAAGTCGCTTATGTTAAATAATGCGAGTTCTCTTTCTTTCTTTCTTCACGTGAAATTTTAACGTGTTTAGATTGTGTTGTAATATATTCCCGAGAAAAGAAACTCAAAAAATATTGTAGTGATGGTTCTTCCGATGGTGTACTATATACTTAGAACTATCCAACAGTAATGAGGGAGCATTTTTTCCAATCGATAGAGTGTGTTTAGCTCTACTTTTCTGTGTTAATTGCTCATTCTCTGACTTTTTATAAGTTAATCAATTTTCAGGAAAAAGCGTTTTTTCTTGCCATTAGCTGGTAGCAATATTCGATACTTTTGCCCATATATACAGGGCGGTCCATAAGTCACGCAACCGAAGTAAAAATTAAATATCTCAATAAGGGTTCGAGGGAATGAGCTAAGTTTTTCATGGGTGATAGAAGCATATACAAGCTTTATATTCAGAGAGACATGCCTAGATAGATCCTTTGTTAAATGAATCCATTGACTCGAAGGAAAATTTTTCTTTTTCATCTACAAAAGAAAAAACAACACAACAGAAAGAAAGAAGATTTTTTTCAAAAAAGAACGAACAGTATTTTAGAGTAAGTGTTCAAATTGTTTACCATCTGTATCTATACACATCTGACACCGAATAACTACTGAACGACATATCGCTTGGCATAATTCGATGTTATCATTGATTAATGCAAATTCTTTTTTAATTAATGATTTTAGATGGTCGATATCTGAAGGTTGTTGAGCATAGACATGATCTTTTATTATCCCCCAAAGCGAGAAATCGCAAGGCGTGATATCCATCGATCTTGGTGGCCATTCAACAGTACCTCGACGATCAATCCACTATACAAATATATCATCTAAATATTCTCGTGTAATTTTATCATAATGTGGTGGTGCACCATCTTGGTGCCAAATCACGAGCGTCTTCGCTACTGTTTTTCTCTCTTCTTCTCTATCGCATCACGTCTGGATACATTCATCTTCTTCTTTCTGTTCATGTAGTGTTCCAGACCTCTGTTTCGTTTATTTTTCAAGAAAGACTGTTACCTTTGATACCATTGTTTCTCGCTATTCTTGTTTTCTTGTCCGTTTACATATGTGTGCTTCACACAGTATATGAAGAGTGATCCTTCTTTTGTTCTTTTTGATATGCATCACTTCAAAGTCCTGTAGACAGACTCACAGTATCCAATAGTGTGAATTCAAAAGACTTTTCTTATGTATATTTATGATACGTAAGATACAGGTCTCCAACATATCTAGTTTTCTCTGAATACATTCAGTTGTTTTGTACAACTCTAAAAGAATTTGAGATTGCGTCATAGATTTGAAATTGTTTGTTTACCTGTGAGAGATCCACTACGAACTGAACTCTCAAAATGTTGAATTTATGCACAAGTTTATTTGTATATGAGACCAAAACTAATCGAGATTCTCAATAAGGTTTGGTCAATGTTAACTTGTTTACATTCATTTGAAAACAGAAATTATATTGAGTATCAATAATAGGAGGAAATATTCAGTGCAGATTTGTGAGTAAGCGTGAAAATGATAGAGGATAAATAAATCGAACGTGAGTTAAATGCTACAAAAACTCTATGAAAATAATTGACTTAACTAAAAATACAAAGACTCTTGCACCATATTTCACTGTTGATCGAAATCGAAGAATATTAAAAGGAAAATACAATAAAAATACTATATAAATTGCACAATCTTCACAAAACAAAATCTTCTTGGATGGAGAAATTAATTATTGACCATAAACTATTAAAAAGAGACTAAGAAATCCTGCAGAACACCTGTCATCATAAACTGATTTACCCAGAGTTAATAACTTCCTGTTTCTTCTGCATAAAACTACGGGGTTTTCATCAACTTGTATGTGTGGTTTCATTTAAATACAACCAGCTTTCATATTAACAATAGATTTCAAAAGAAGAAAGCCAACGATTGCTTTGATAGAGATGTAAACTCACTTTCGTTCTACTATTCTTCTTAGAATTGATGATTTGGTTGATTACTGTTTGACGATGGTTCAGCTAAATATGAAGCAGTACATAATAAGTCTACGTTTCAGAAAATATAATACGTACAAAGGTAATGAATTTCTTTTGCTGGTCTAAATAAAAGACCTGCACCAATTCCACACCCTATTACCACAAGGCCGATTCCTAAACCATAACCAATTATTCTGGCACCGTCACCGAGACTTGTAACCCCAGTACCAACACTAGTAGCGCCATTGCCGACTTGTGTAGCCCCTGTTGTTACTCCTTGTGCAATACTATCTGCTGCGTTTTTTAATCCATTTTCAATATGCGGAACAGCTAAATTTATGTCAAATTTCACTAAATAGAATTAAGAATAATCTAATCTTTTGTTCTGAAATATTTATCCACTCAATCATCCAAAGATAGGTGAATTAGACTAGCGAGCTCCAGATAATCTGGGAGTTTTAACGCTATTAATAATCTGTTTAGCTTGCGAGATTTACTGAGGAGGAAGAAGAAGAAGAAGATATAGATATATCCTCGCCTTTTGCCAAACATCTATGCAGTTTAAAAGTAATGTCCGAGAATATTCTCGAAGTCAGATTTTTTGCTGCAACATCTTTAGTTGTAGTTCTAGCCAGAAGACCAGCTTTGATTTAAAGTTCCCTCTGTTTAATTAGCGGCTGAAATTTATTGACTACACACTATGTGATCTATCATACAACTATCACGATATTATCGCCTCTATTATAAGAAATTAGCAAAGGATATAGATTTGTTAATGTATCATAAATATATCTTCTTTATTATTATTGATAATACTCACTCTTTGTTTGACTATTGAAAAATGTTTTTATTGTTCAGTATGCACCAGATCAATTCATTTTTTGTGTAATTCTGAAAGAATACAATGAAATTTCATTTTTCATGTCATTTTATTTAATGTGATCGACGAGTCAGATGGCATAGATATTTAGTAAAAAGAAACAATACTTTCTATCATATATTTTTCTAGTTTTTATGACTTTTTTATTCAATGGAAAGAAAAGTAATTACTTTTTTCTTACACAGTAATGTTTTATAGGAAAAAACAAAGGAGGGGGCGCTTAAAAGCTGAAATTGCCCCCCCCCCCCTCAAAACTATTCCTAATTCACTCAAACCCGCCGATTTCAACCCGCTGATTTCAAAAATGAAGGAATTAAGCACTCGTCAAAGGTCAATATCCATAGATATCGCTCATTTTTTTAGCTGTTAAATACATGGTTTTCACCCTGCGTCGACACTATCGTTAACCCTTTCCAGCCGGATGTATCCATTTGGATACATTACGTCAATGATTTGCGAATACACGATTTATAATATCAATATAAAATTGCTTGACTATTTCATAATTAAGCCAACATATTTTGACATAAATTGATGCATTGAGAAAACGAAAAAACAATTTACCAAGAAAATAGGCGGGCTTATTCTAAATGCACTGAAAACGCATTGTAATAATGAAAGTCGTTTGTCTACTTCTGTGAATATTTCATCTCGAGGGCAACTAGCGGTTAATTTTCTTCCATAGAACTGTTGGATACTGGAGTATTAACTAGTGCTATTCAGTAATTCTGATCAAAACAAAACGGGGATGTATCCATTTGGATACACCCGGCTGTTAAGGGACAAAAATTTCAAAATTATTTTTCTTTATAATTGTTTAAATCACGATTTTTATTATATTCTTTTCGAGATATCTCCTATAAAAACAAATATGTTGTTCTTCTACACCACTTTTGTCTTTCTGTTATTGGTATGACATCATCATATGTATGCGATAGATGTATATCTATTTACTTTTTGTCGTCATGCACGAGTGCATATGACTTTATCTCTAGTATATTCAGTTACATTCGTATTCTTTCTTTTCTACGTAGATATGTGTCATCTATCATCTCTTTAGTATTCTCTAGAAGCATCTCTTTTCCATCACTTTCTACTGAATTCCTTTTTCCGATTATATATATACATGTGCACGTATTGATTGAAATAATAAAACATACATTTCACAATTAACCCATTTTTCACATTAATAATTCATACATACTTCAAGCTTTTCAAGTTCTTGGTGTATTTTTATTGACGCTTTATCAGATAATGCCTATTACAAGAAGTTCCAAACGACATATTGTTATTCCGAATGGAATTAGTGAGGAAGAAATTAGTTCATCTGAATCAGAGGACGAGATTAATATGATTAATCGTATTTCATTGAACGACTCAACAACGGACGAACAATCTTCATCTAGTGAAGAGAGTAACATTGAAGAAATCGCACAAAGAGGTCCACCATCAAAGAAAAAGAAAGTACTTGATTGGAAAAAGAAAGATTTTGTCCCTCCAGCAGCAGTATTTAGTAACACTTTCCCACCACCACCAATAAATGAAGAGTTAGAGCCGATTGATTATTTCCATTCTATGTTCGGCAAGCAATCCATTAAACTTTTGTCAGAGCAATCGAATTTATATTCAGTTCAAACAAATCCGAACAAACCTCTTTGTATCTCAGAAACTGAAATGGAACATTTTATTGGTGTACTAATCATGACTGGAATATATTCATTTCCACAGCAACGTTTCTTTTGGATGAATGCCACTCGTGTTGAGTCTATATCTTCGGTTATGAGCCGTGATCGTTTTTTACAAATTAAAAAGTGCTTACATGTTGTTGATAATTTCAGTCAACCAAACAAAGATGATCCAAATTTCGATCGAGCGTATAAAGTACGACCACTATTGGATATTGTCAAAGCGAATTTTAGAATGATTCCAAAAGAAGAAAAGTTAAGTGTTGACGAGCAAATAATTCCCTTCAAAGGACGAAGCATCATGAAACAGCATATGCCGAAAAAGCCGCATCGTTGGGGGTATAAAATGTTTATTTTGGCTGGCGGTGAGAGTGGCATATGCTATGACTTCATTTTTTATACTGGCAAAGGCGAAAGATCTGAACATGGATTTTGTACCAATATTGTACTTGCACTTTGTGAAACAGTACCACGTTCAATCAATCATAAAGTCTATTGTGATAATTTCTATACAACGATTAATTTGCAAGTGGAGTTATTTAAATTAGGCATCTATGCTGTCGGCACAGTAAGAGCAAACCGGTTACCTGGTTTGGTTATGAAAAAGGAGAGTGATTTATCGACGGAGGGACGTGGTGCTATGGAACATCGTGTTACTGTCGTTGATGGTGTTGAAATTTGTGTAGTTAAATGGTATGACAATAATGTTGTTAATTGTCTCTCGACATTACATGGTTGTCATCCAATTGATTTTGTTCAAAGATGGTCAGCCAGAGAAAAAAAACATATACAAGTCACAAGACCAAATGTTATACAGGCATATAATCAACATATGGGAGGAGTTGATTTGATTGATATGTTGATTTCTCTTTATCGCATCGATGTTAGATCACAAAAGTATTACATTAAGATCATATTCCATCTAATTGATTTATCAGTTGTCAATGCTTGGCTTCTTTATCGACGCCATTGTTCTCAACTTAATGTTTCGAAAAAGGATGTAATGTCTTTATTAACATTTCGTATTAGTGTAGCAGAATCGTTACTTAAGTCTTGTCCGCCTTCACCATCAGTGAAACGTGGTCGCCCATCATTACAATCAGTAACAACTAATGATAGTCCTCGAGCACCACCTAGAGCTACGCCTACTCCACTTCCACCAATAAATACTCGATTGGATAAGTTTGATCATTGGCCTGTTTCAACAGTGAAAGGTCGATGTCGAAATCTTGGTTGCACGGGTCAAACGAGAATCTCATGCTCAAAGTGTAAAGTACGACTGTGCTTAAATGAAACAAACAATTGTTTCAAAAATTATCATAACTAATTAGTCTTTGTTCAAATTTATTCTTAATCTTGCCTGATACTGATATTCTTACACTGTTATCACAGTTCTCTATACATATGTATTTCTTTTCTTCAGTGCAGACTTAATAAATACATGAAAGAATCCTAAAGATTCTCATTTTGATAGTCAAAAACAAAAAAAGAGACCTTATGAAATTTTGACCCATAGTGGCCGGATGTATCCAAATGGATACATCTTGCCATTCAATATGGTAATGTACTTTATCTCAACCAAATAAATTTTTCTCATCTTCAAGGCCTCAAAGCAACAGAAATAGATGAAAAATATTTTTTGCTCCATTTCATCTAGCAGCCGGCTGGAAAGGGTTAAATAACCATTACGCCCCCCCCCCCCCCCTTCCCGACCTAAAGAGACGATAGTATCCCTAACAATTTTATACCAAATGAAAGCCCGTGAAAAACTGCATCTAGTGGTATGATTAGAGAAAGTACAGTTTGTGAAATTATTACGATGCTAGGTTCGATATATCAGTTTGTCACACACAACAGTCTTGATTATGTTAAAAAACTGTTGTGCTACTCATTAAGTTAAGCCTTGAATTAATAGTACTTCAGTTTATTAAGGATATGAAATGTTGAAAAACATATTGCAGCAAAAATTTCAGAACTTCGTATGGCCTCCATCAGTGGCTTTGAGAGCATCGAATCTTTTCCGCATCGAGCATAGCAGGTCGCTGAAAAGGTCTGTATCCTCTTCTTATCTTCTCGTGCATAAATGTGTACGTAGTTTTCTTTTTTCTATCTCTTCTTCACGTTAACAACCATCAGCAGTAAGGCTTTTTAAAATTCGCAATAAACATGTTATCCAGCTTGCGCACGTACTGTGTGACAGTGACAGTTAAACATAGCATTAGTAAATGAAAACTTCGCAAAATACGTGGCGTGTTGCTCTAATACACAATATATTCAATAAAGACTTGAAGCAATGAAAAGTACAACCTATCAATAGGCAATTCTAATATGTAAAAAGATTATTTTTACTATTTCTATCGACATTACGCTATATTATGTATGACAAACTGATATATCGAACCTAGCATCGTAATAATTTCACAAACTGTACTTTCTCTAATCATACCACTAGATGCAGTTTTTCACAGGCTTTCATTTGGTATAAAATTGTTAGGGATACTATCGTCTCTTTAGGTCGGGAGGGGGGGGGGGGCGTCAGGGTTATTTCGCACTCGGTAAACAGTAGTGTTTCNGGATTCACAATGAACAAAATCGTAGTCGATCTCCAAGTTCCGCCTGGGACACTGCAAGTAGCGTCGATATATGTACCACTCAGTAGAGTGAAGAAAGGGGATGATATAGTTATCCTTCGACCTTTCGACATGAAGGTTCTACAAGTTCAACCTTCTTCTGCGCAAGATGCTGAACTGAAACGTTTAGATGAACTTGACAAAAAGACAAAACGAGAGTGTACCTCTTTCATTTTTTGAAACATGTGTAAATCAATACTTTGCTAAGAGTCTAGTGTCATTGCAAGCATATAAAACGTATTATACTTTGAAATTACCTTAAAATAATTATTCATGCAGGCTTATTTTCTTTATCTCTTGCTTCGCATTTATCTTAATTATTGTAGTAACTGTCTCTTTTCTCTCATTGCATCAGATATTGCCTATCGTGTTTTCTTAATTTCGTTTTTTGATGTTATCATCCATAAGCTTCCTAACTGTATTGATATTTCTTCACAATATCTAATGCTCTATTTAACATTTGGTATAAATATCTATTGTTGCTTTTGTGGAAATATCTAATCTACACTAAAAATAAGTTAATATACACAATAATAGCTTTAAAGTGTAATATCTGAAAGCACGGTTTCTACGAGAAAGAGCTGAGCGAGTCGCTAGACGAGCGTTACTTGTATTTAGTGATTTTCTTAACTATCATTGGTTTAAATTGATCGAAGAATATGTCTATTAGGTAGAGCTCGTCAGGTTTTAATTTGATCTAACCTGTAGATGAATATTATCGAGAAATATCGAAATCCTAATCCAAGATATTCTACGTTGTTATAGTTTGGAAAAAAAGAGTGATTATTGTGACCTTCGATTTGTTTACATAGACTGTATACTACAGAGGTAATTAATATAATTCATTTGCATGCATAATAAACTTTATATGAAACACGTGGTTAAACGTATTCGTTTCGTCGTGCTTGATTGCGCATCGAAAAAAAATCATCGTTATTCTTTTTTTTATTTTTTTTTCTATTTGATAGTATTCGAGCTTACCGATACATTTGGTTAAAATTGTCATTAGAATTCATTTGTTTTTGATCGATGACAAATACAAGCGAATTGGTTTCAATGAATACATTGAATTCGAAATATCAAACTTATGAATCAGTTGAATCAATTGACGATCAAGAACAATCGAAAAACGATCGTATTCGAAATCTAATATCAAATATTTTGACTGTGATCAGTTTGATTTTTCTCATTCCTGGTCTTTGGTATCCAATGATCAATATTCATATCACTACTTTAGCACAAACAATAACAATAGTAAATCAAACGCGAAGCATTTTAACAACGATTACCTTTCTGTTTGAACGTAAAGCATATCTTCCTGGAGTATTAATAGCTATCTTTTCTGTCGTGATTCCATTTCTCAAAGCAGGCTTATTACTATTAATGAAGTAAATTATAATTTTATCAAATTTAGATTAGAATAAAATGATTTGTATATTTTAGTATATCAAAAAGTGCACGATATAACTATACAGTCTATACAATTGTTCGTGATTGGGGTAAATGGAGTATGGCAGATGTGTTTGTTACAGCTGTTTTTCTTTCATATTTATCAACAACAGTAGTAGCTAATATTGAAGCAACATTACTTCCCGGATTCTATTGTTTTTTAGTTTATTGTATCACTTCTTTATTAGCTGTACAAGTCATGGTTGCGCCACCTGAAGTGACTATTGGAAAAAGTTGAAATATTAAAGCATGTTTATGAATACATGGATAAACCGAAAAGAAAATACTTCATTCAAATAAATGATTTCAAAAACGACAATTTTCTTTATAATACAAGTTGCTCGTCAAGATATGCATTTCTTTTTTTCTATTAGAACATAACATAATTGTCAAATTATTGACAAAATATTTCACCATGTCAATTTCTTTACTATTCCGAAGAATTACCATATAACCATTATTACTATGATTCTCTCCTATTTTGTAGACAAATTTCAAAACTTGTTTTCTATAAATATCACTGATAAATAAATACATCTGTGATACAGTGACGTCACTGGAACATCTCCCTTCTATAGATGCCATTGTTGTTCCGTCTTCTTTTGGACATATTCTATACTGGGATATTCCACGTAGTCAGAGTCTTCTCTGTAGCTATTCTGTCTTTCGTTTATTTTCGAAATAAACTATGATTCATTTGAAGACGTAACAATTGGCGACGAGAGTGAGATGGATACAGAAATGGAAACTGTGGCGCAAGTAAAACGTCATAAGTCAAAGAATTCGGAGAGGAACTGCCCGGATTCAGAATATTCCAATTAAATCCATCCAAAACCGTATATGTGGAAGCCAGCCACGATCGAGTAGATCCAACAGCAACTTTCCGCTCTTTTCTATGATTTTTCTCGGCCATCTACATTACCAAACAACATCTCATTTAACCGCTCCGACTGACTTGCCCATAACCATCTCCGCGCGTCCTGCACTAAATTTTCGATCTCTTTCAATCCTTCTAAAAAATCTCACGTAAAATCGAGACTCTGGATTAAAACTCCGATTTTTAGCTTCTAGAAAATTTGCTCATCTTGACTGAACAGTGATTTTCGTAGATTCTAATATGTGGTGGAGGGTTTGATGCTAAGAATATATGCGGAATGACAGTGGCGGACGATAGTTGATGTGTACTAAGGTGCTTCTATATGGAAAGATATTATTTTAGGTCGGATTTTTTTGGAAGTGATCGTAGCGAGTCGGAACCGTTCGGCATTTGTGGGAATAGGCTGGGCTCGACCTCTAGGATCTTCTCAGAACCAGTGACGGGAACGTTCGTCCTGGCAAATTTCAATTTAGACTTGTATAAGTTGAATAACTTATAAAGATTTTGTACGTGCGGAGTTGCTCATCATCCTCAAAAGGACAATCCTTCTTGGAACTACATAATATAGCAGGATTAGTATAAAATAACACATTGAAAGATTGCTAACCAAAAAGAGCAAATGTAATAAATGGTGCTTGTAATGACAAACTGGTTGAGTAGCTGACCGCTTCTCACGGTATCGATGTTTATTGACTACTCTACATGACCAAAATGTCTCTCTTTCACAATAAGACACGCGCTTATATAGAGAAGAGGAAAGAGAGATATGACCCGGAGATAGTATGATACAGAGATGAGAGAATAAAGAACAGAAAGAGATGAACGATATCATTATCGTTACANNTGTAACGACAAACTGGTTGAGTAGCTGACCGCTTCTCACGGTATCGATGTTTATTGACTACTCTACATGACCAAAATGTCTCTCTTTCACAATAAGACACGCGCTTATATAGAGAAGAGGAAAGAGAGATATGACCCGGAGATAGTATGATATAGAGGTGAGAGAATAAAGAACAGAAAGAGATGAACGATATCATTATCGTTACAGTGCTCGGCATAGTTTCCACTCATCTGTTTCAACTAAAAAATCGACGGTTCCATGAAAGATGCTCGTCGAACAGTTGCTCCTGCGAGGGGTGTGGGTGTGAGGCAAAAAGATATACCTACACCCTCACCCACACCCAAAAATCGCTCAACCAATATCATTTATCCTTTTCGTCGATGAAATTTATTTATTTTGTTCAATAAAATGATTGAATAAGGTTTGCTAAAAAAATGTCGAAAAGTAGTACTATTTTCTACGCATTTTTTTCGGGCGATCTTTTCATTCGAATGTCAAAAAAAATGAGAAAACTTTGGACTTTATCCGAAAATTATGTGTACTTCAAAAAGTGTATCAGATGTGCACACAAAAATCTGAGCATTTTTTTTGTAAGTTAGTTGTATTACAGTCGATCGGGCTCATCTTCGAACTCGTCTGCGACATTGACAATATACTGCTATGTACTAAATTTCATGACAATTGAACCATTCTTTCAGAAGTTATCGGGTTAACGGTCAGACGGACCTACTGACCCATACTATAGTATACTCACTTTTTTAGTACACAAAAATGATGGAGCTTAAGGGAGAGGGGTGATACCGCCCTACAACCTACCCTCAAATTTTGTCAGTTTGTAGCGTTGACCCACAAGGGTCCGGTGCTCTTTGGCCGAGTTATAAAAATTAAAAAAAAAAACGGTTTTTAATGCATTTTCAGCTCAGTGCCAAAAGTAATTCTTGCGAAGTCCCGTATTTGAACAAATCGTTTTAAAAACCATTTTTTTTAGGAATATGTTTGCTATGCTCATGTCCACCGGATGACATATTTTCTCCCCGAAAAAAACTCTCTTCGCAAAAATTCCCTGCATGAAACTGAATTTGGATGATGTAAAAACAAGAAAATTTCGAGAAAACCAGTACAGATTCATTTCTTTGTTTCCAACTACCATTCCAACACTTATTTCACAAACAGCTCAAGCAGCTCTACCCATTCCAATGAGAAAAAAAATTTCACCCAATCTCACCCGCACCCACCCTCACACCCACCCACACCCACACCCTTCCTATGTTCAGTGTGATTAGCGTGTAAAGGAACTAGAAGGATAAGACAACTCTGTCAAGTGACAACGTATTAAAGAAATGACAGATTCCGAACTCATAGATGTAGCTTAGTGTGATATTGCAGATAAAATTATTTGATCAAAGACTTTGATACTTGATGAGAAACTGTTTCAGTGTCAAATGCTTGTTAGTATGGTGCTTGAATTAGATGACGAATAATTTTATCTTGTAGAAAAATCGTTGTAGTCAATATCAATATAATTTATAGAGAATAAACATCACTGGATATTTTATTTAACAGTGCAATGAAGAATTCTGAGAATGTCACTTCAGAATACGGTACTACAAGCTGGGGTACCCGCTGCAGATTCAGATATAACTACATTAGAAAACATTGCAAATAGAGAAATGACACAAAATGCAATTATGAATATCCTTATAGCTGAAGCACAACTAAGTTTTTTTTCCTGGATTTATCTTTAACATCACACTTTTACTTCAACAAAATCTGAAACTCTAAAGGACGAACCAACATTCGATAGAAGATTCTTTTAGGTTTTGCGCCCATCTGTTGAACATAAATAGGTTCATCAGATCAGAGGCTAATTCCTTATAAGCGCAGTAAATCCATAGCAAACTCGACCGATCTTCCTTTGGATACAGATTTGACATAGTGCTAAAATTCTTTAGACTGTTATCGTACACTCTCATCTTACATTCACTGTCTTCAAAGTTATGTGTCGTAATAATTTGGTTGCAATTTGCGAATTTATGTGTAGACCAAAAATTAAGTTTGTTCATTGTTCTTCTTTAATTTTGTTTGGATTGTTTTAGGATAAAGATCTCATTAATGAATAAATGAGTATGAATTAAAGTTAACAGTTTATGTTGTTCTCCAAATATAAAATGATTGGTAATTCAATACGATTGATATTCACAACATTAATTTTTTTCTCCTATGTTGGAAAAAATGATGAGAAAAATAACATTTGTTTGTTTCTATGTTTGCTTATGACATAATAGATATCATTTTTTTTACTATAAGTGGGTAAAAACAGAATAAGAAATGACGTGTATCTATGAATTCTGACGTCGTTCGAATCATATAGATTTTCTCTGGATGAAGTCCTGGTGACACAATCGTCTTGGATTCCGACGGTCTCAGATCCGATCGGATCCCATGTCGGATCCGAAACATGAATTTCTTGGATTTTCTAAGGGCCATCATAGAACATAGCTAAAAAGATCGCTCATAAAATTTGCAACAACCGACGGGATTTTTCTAGTGGGATTCTTATGAGCACGACAATAAGATCACGTATATAATAAATTCTACTCAAAATGAAATTATTTTACATTATGTATAGATGATATTTTTTAAATAGTTAATTGAATCGGAGAACATCAGCTACTACATTTTGTTCATTATTATTGAATCTGCATTGTTCTATGGTTATACCGATTTGAAATGAGAATTTTCTATGAGTATAAAAAATAAATATTGCTTGTTTTAGTATAAGTACGACATTCAGCAAAAAATGTCAAAGAAAATTGTAGATGGCAATGTCGCATAACGGAAAAAACCCAATCTTTGTTAAGATAACGGATATTTGTTTTAACTTCTTCCGAAAATGATGAATAAGTACGTACGCAATTCGTGAGTTTCTTTCGTTTTTTCTAATTTAGGAACTATAATAGAATCGATCGGTCTGATAAGACTCATATGAATATATATGACGAACTATCATGTTCTTTTAGAAGAAAAAGTAAAAGACGTAGTTTAAGTGGGCGAGTTCGTGAAGAATACGTGGGAAAATGACGGCTTACTTCCGATTTGTTATCAATGGGAAAGATTCACAGATAAATGAGATATCGATTTAATGGACTATATATAGAGCGAACTCATTTGCTGTGAATAAGTATCTTCTACTTGAAACTCAACATTAAAAGTAAGTAAATTCAATATATTGATTCATAAAGAATGTGAAAAGTACACGTTAATATGTAGTTATGACAAACTCAATACCTTTCATAGTAATTGTATTGGTTGCCGTTGTGCTTCTATTAGTACAAGCAACTGATCAATTCAATGGAATTTCTGATGACCGTAAGAACAAAGATTTCAATTACTATTGAGTTAAATAATCCCATTCGTTTATAATTGATTATAGACAACGATGTGTCAACTGTTCAAAGTCCACTGATTTGCGATGGAACACGTCCAATCGATAACATCCATTGTACATCATGGTGCCGATCGAAAGGTCTTAAACATGGCTTATGTAGGTTATACAGAGGTCAAATACATTGTTTGTGTTCTGACTGATCAACAACAAATGGCAAGGCACAATTAATCCAGAAGTTCTAAAAAGTATTTTAATGGTAATATTTAATAAAATTTAAAACATGTTTTATATCACATACATATATATGTGTTTATTAAATTTTATGTCATTTGTTACCTGTGAAAGTCAATTATATAATAAACTGCGTGGCCGTGACTATAAATATATCCAGATACTTGTGAGAGAATGGTAGACTATAAATAAGGACGATGAGGAAAATAAAAAACGCCGACATCTCTGATGAGAGTGTATATATGAATATGTATTATTTAAGCAACAAGTAACATTCGTCACTGCAACTCACTTTACCCCCGACTATGTAACAGAGAAATACTTTTCTGTGTCATTGATAATACGAACTAGACTAGCATTTTTGTAGAGGAAACAACACGTATTTTTCTTTATGGTCAAATCATTACTTTCCAAACAAGATGCAATTTATCCACTTCAGTGTATTCCAAAAATACACCACATGATGACCTACGGACGCCTCCATAGTATAGCACTTGAGCATCTGACGACCCATCTATATCTCCAAAAAGCGCCATAGTATTCTTTTGACGATTGACCTTTAATCCCGTACAGGTAGAAGAACAGAGGCACAACCTTTTTTCCTATGTCCTTCTTACAGTCGAGAGAACAAGCGCCCACCATCACCAACCAAAATCCATCATGAGCGATCAAAATCTACGATGGTCATACCCAATTTGGACCAGTTTCAATGTGTTTTCTGTTATTTTTGTACATACATTACCTTTGACCCCATACAAACAAACAAATGAGAGCAATCATCCTATTCCAAAAAGTACCAGATCCCTGCATTTCTTACAATTGCATATATATATACATACATCCATTAACTAACAGATAAGCCTAGGAATCTCTCGAATTGCACACGGAATTTCGTGTGTAGTGCTGCAAATCTCGATGATCATGTAATTATCCAAGCTGGATATACAATTGCACGAAATGCACGAATGTGGTACTTTTTGGAATAGGAAGCATCCTCACAAATGAATAAACTGTTTTTTTTCCATATGACCCTCCCTACAGTCTAGAGAACAAAAACTGCGATATTTAAGAGGAATTCGATATCCAAATGGAATCGCAAACATAAAATGAGCTCGGTAGACGTTTAAACGCGATTCAATTGCCTGCTCTTATCTAGTGATTGGACATGTGCCAAACCCAAACTGTCAGGATGTGAAAGTCCATGAGCTTCATTCAGAAGTTTTGTAAACCTTCCTTTTTTTCTGAGTGATATGGTGTTAGGTTTTCATACCCAGATCGACTAATTCAAAAGTGAAAACCGATATAATGTAAAACGTGTTCTATCGAAATCTCATAAAACAGCATCGGATACGTTGTCAGGTTTGGGAATCTGGATACAGAATTCAAGCTGAATATTGAAGCTATCAACGCAAAAATCATATATAAATGCAAACTCTGAACTTGTGCAACAAAATCCAATGAAAGAACTAGTCTTTTCTTAACTCGAATTTCCAAAAACGTTCCATTTGGTGTAGGTTTGAATCTTGCAAAAACCACATAGTATGAACTTGGGTTTGGAATTTATATTTATGTGCTCCGTGTCAACTATATGAACGAATATAGTTATGTAATGCTCTTTTACGTGAGTAATTTATTCTATACTTTTTCAAAAAACATGTTTAATAAATATAAATGTAAAGAATAAGAATAAGTCATGATCATTTTTCCTTTCTCCAAACTTTTTTTTATCATCATTCAATCACGTCCATTGCTTTGATGATTATGTTCATACTTTTTTTGTCGTTACCTTCAGTTACAAAGACTAGTGGCAGAATCATCTATTTGTGGTTACTCTGACATACAATATTCTATATCTTTTTCTCTCTATTTTATATCTCGTCACCACCATTACTTTATAATTATTCTGTAGCGAATTCTTCTGAGAGTGAAACTATATTAAAAAAAACCAAGCCTATAATAGAGACAAATGCTGTTCGTTGAAGGTAAAAGAATATTTCAGGTTTTTTCACTGACTTTATTTCAATTGACACTGATAACGTGTCACTTGAATATGTATAATATCCAAGAAATAGTTGACGAGAATACGTTAGAATATGATTGTTTGGATTATTATGTTTATGACCGAACAAAATTAGCTAATCAAGATTTATACGATGTTATTGATGAAGTTGTATCATTCTGTATTCGTCCAACACATCTATCTAATGATCCAATGGATACATTTGTNTGATTGTTGATCATTTCGGTAATGTTTATGTTGCTGACACGAAGAATAAACGAATAATGCGTTGGAATGCAGAATGTCAAGAAGGTAGTATCATTCTTCGTGGAGATTCAATCGGACAACAATCAGAGCTGTTCGAGGCTCCTGGAGATATATCGTTTGATGGCGAAGGTAATTTGTATGTGGTCGATTATAGTAATAGACGAATACAAAAGTTTTTGATTGATTCGAGTTAATTTCAATAAATTATGATATGTAAAAAGTTTTTTTAATTATCATCTCATCATTTAACAGATTGAGACAGTATGACTGTGAGGTCAATTGTGATCATATGCATCTCTTTACCCTCACTCTCCACCCTGAATAAATGTTATTCCTTGGACAGAATGGATAGATCCAGTTGGTCTAATAAGTCGAGAGAAAGCTTATCTTCTATCTATCTTCTATATATATAAATAAGAAAGTTTGTCTGTTCGTTCGCTATGCATTCAGTCCCTGTAGTAGCTATCGGCGTGAAACTTTCCACAAAGCTTCCTGAGACTCAGAGGAAGGTCGACATCTATTTTGTTCCGAGAACAAATGAACCAGACGTTTGCTACAGGCAATATATGAAACGGACCAATAGGAATGCGAGATTTCCAAAATTGAGAAAATTAATAGCGAAGGCAGCCGAAGGCCGTCTGAGCGCTCAAAGACAACAATCCACGTGATCTCTACGTCTATGATAGTTCGGTGAATGCTACAGATAATCTGCGAAACTCACCAATAGCGTTACAGGATCTCAAAAGATTAAGATAAATGTTGAGGGTGGGTGAATTCCAAGGATATAAGGTATGAAATCACGTGAGAGTGAGAAAGAGGTCGATAAATGAATAGCTGGAGTGGAAAATGAATATCAGAGAAAGAAGAAATTTTCATGATTTCTGAGGCAGAAATTAGCTTCGGTAACTCTTTTGCATAAAGAGATATAGCCAAAACTGCCATTTTATGCGATGCACGGTGGGAAAAATAAGGACTGGAAGCGTAGAAATTTTAATTGTATTGATTTTCTATCTATTATAACTCTTCAACACGTGAGATATTCGACATAGATGTTTCTTATTTGCAGCGGGTACTCCCTCTAGTTCTATTGTAAAAAAAAACTAACCTCAGATTCGTGATCCTCGATCCCGAAAACCTTTCGTCAATCATTTTCTAATGACAATGGTTAATTTTTCATTGATTTATAAAATGCTGCAATTTGATTGGATTACGCAAACAAACAAACAAGCAAGCAAACTTTTTTCATTCCAACCACCCGATTTATGACGCTATAACCCTTTCTTTCAGAAAAGGGAATTATGCTCTGCGAACAAATTCGTAGTCATCAACATTTATTAATTGCACCTCTAATGTTATTTTTTCTTGCATTACCACGTTTAATTCTGTCATATGCATCCGAATGTATGAATTCAAGTAAAGACTCATGGATATTTCTTAGTGGATATTTTATCTCATATCCCATCATGTCCAAAAACGGAGAGAACATCGATGATGTTGCATTATTCATTATAATTGATGAAATTCGATGTTTTGAGTGGAATCACTGATGAAAATCGATGGAAAGCTTCACAATAATACGTTTTTCATCAGTGATTCCACTCAAAACATCGAATTTCATCAATTATAATGAATAATGCAACATCATCGATGTTCTCTCCGTTTTTGGACACGATGGGATATTCCACCGATGCTCATCTTTTTTATTTTTGTATTACCATTACTATATTATAAAAAATAATTCAAAAGAATGCTTAAAAATCGGTCAACCAATATCATTTATCCTTGTCGTCGATGACATTTATTTATTTTGTTTAATAAAATGATTGAATAAGGTTTACTAGAAAAATGTCGAAAAGTAGTACTATTTTCTACGCATTTTTTCGGACCATCTTTTCATTCGACGTTTTTCCAGTAAATCATTCGAATGTCAAAACATGAAGCAGCTTAATTAATCCTAATACTGCAGAATAACATAGAGCTATACATTCTAACACTTTTCCTTTCATTTTGATGCTTTTAACTTCGATTATTAAAACTTATTATAAAGAACCGATGTGCCATTAGTCAAAATGAAATATCCAAGCCATATTTAATTGTAAATTCATCCACACTGCCTTTGTTCTGTTCGAATACACTTCTCTCCGAAAATGCCACAGACAT